AGCCTTCTGAGTAGCTAGGATTACAGGCGTGAGTCACTGGCACTTGGCTACCTTACTGCTTTTTAAATGAGCTTCTTGTTCTTACTTAGGTTACTTTTTGTTGTTTTCCTTTTTCTAAGTCATTCCAAGAAGAATGATTATTAGCTCCAAAGTTACAACTATTATCTTTTAGTCTGATGCCACTGAGTGAGTATGTGGGAAAACTGATATGAGGACAGCCAAACGGAACAAGAGAGAGCATGTAATGCAGTGCAATGAGATGATGACTCTTCAGGTTATAGTTGAGCTGCAGTTACACCCCATACAAAGTTGTCAGCATGGTGGTTTGGTAATGAGCTTTAAACTGCCTCAATTTCTTGTAAAATGAGGGAAAAAATGTCATAGCTATATGGGTTAAATGAGCCAGAAGGGGTTCATGGTCTCCAGTCTCCTTGCATTTCTCCATATCTAGCTAGATAATGTTTACAAAATACATTTTTGTTCAGTGAGTGTTATTTTCTGTGTGTACTAGTACCAGGGCTTAAACTTTCAGCTTTCTTGCTATGGCTGCAGCTCTACCACTTGAGCCATGCATGCAGCCCAGTTTTTTGCTAGTAAAAGATGGAGTCTTGTAGACTTTTATTGCCCAAGCTGGTTTTGAACTTCCATTCTTCAGGATTACACGTGCAAGCCACCACATCTGGGTTGTTTTTAAAGGAGTTGTAAATCAGTCCATTTCCCTGAGGATGAAAGTGAAGTTCATTAAAAATAATGAAATGAATGTCACTTGGAAGAGTAGCATTTGTTTTGGAGAAGAGATTTGCATTTATTTCACCCATGGACTCCAGTTTGTTCTTGAGGGCGTTCCTCCTTGGTCTGCGTTTTATTTCAGTGTAAAAATCACCTGCCTACTGGTTCTCTTAACCTCAGTGACTAAGTCACCTGTGTGCACCTAATCAGTGAATAAGTTATTACCACCCTCCTATCGCTCACATGTAGCTGGCAAATAGAATTGTTACTTGCATTAGATGAAGCTTTTACATCTTGCCCACACCCTTTCCAGAGGCGACAGGAGTATGGATATCATGCATTGTATGGTTTTATAACTTCAATGGGTATATACTTCAAATAGACACGCTTTTATTTTGTGGTCTTTCACAACTTGAAATTGTCCTTTGTGTCTGCAACTTCAAAATATGGACACATCCATGTCTGATTTGTTCATTTTAGTTGGGAGGAGACCACAATAGTTTAAATGACATAGTTGGTTTTTCCCTTCCCTAATTGCTGGGCAGTTAGGCCCCTTCTAGTTTGTTTTTGTTTTTGTTTTCTTTTTATTTGTAGTCAGCTTACAGGGTTTCCTTAAATACCTGTCCAGACGTGTGAGTTCCTGCACCCAGAAACAAATAGGGGCCATTGCCAGATGGTTCCTGAGCTTTATTAAGTTCTACACTCACCAGCATTTTACAGATTTGTTTGGCTTGGCTGCCAGTCATTCACACCCAGGAACCCTTATGAACACTTGTCCTGTACAGCCATTCTGGTGTGTGTGTGTCCTGACTGGCCTTAACTTGCAGGGTTACTTCTTGGTGATTGCTAAAAAAAAAAAAAAATCTTCCTTCTAGGGACTGGAAAGGTGACTCAGTGGTAGAGCACTTGCCTTGCATGCATGAGGCCCTGGGTTCAATTCCTCAGCACCACATAAGCAGAAAAAGCCGGAAGTGGTGCTGTGGCTCAAGTGGTAGAGCACTAGCCTTGAGCTGATGGACAGCACCCAAGCCCAGAGTTCAGGCCCCACGACCTTCTGCTCTTACACCCTTTGACCATCAGATTTCTATGTTAGACATTTTTTTCTATTATCCCTTTGTAAATGCTCTGTTCTCCATATTCATTGCAGATGTTTTCTAAATTGTTATTTTTCTGTCATGCAGATGACTTGGGTATCATGGTGTTTTAAGGACATTTATTTGCTGGTTACTGGGGCTTGAACTCAGCTTTTTTCACTCAAGGCTAGCCCCTCTACCACTTGAGCTACACCTCTACTTATGGCTTTTTGCTGGTTAATTAGAAAAATGTCTCATGGACTTTCCTGCCCAAGCTGGCGTTGAACCACAGTCTTCAGATCTCAGTCTCCTGAGTAGCATGAATCACTGGCATCTGTCTAATGCGCTAATGCTAATAAAAATATTTAATTTTTCTAATCCTAGCAACTGAAAAGCTTTTCTCCATGGTGTTTTGTAAGTGTTCAGTTTTGGTTCTCACTATATTTTCAATGATTTTTATATGTTGTGAGATATACATAACATTTCTCTATTTTTCCTATATAGCCTGTCATCAATGTTTTAGCCTTTTTTAAAATTCCACATTTGTAACATTTTTTTTTAATATTCTATAGCAGTGTCCCATATAAAGAGTTTATGGACAAGTCTAAGGTTCATTTGCTGTTTGCTAATACCAAGTTTTAATTCTATAGCATGATTATGTTTAACTTGTTTTCCAGTTCTTACACCTTTATTTTAAAAATGCTTAAATTCTTCTTCATGTTGACTGAAACTGCTATACACTTTTGGGAAGCAGTACTATTAGTAGAGCTTAGATTGTCTTATTCCCAATTTTACAGGGAATAATCTCTGGAGTTTGCATATTGGATGTTTATGCTGTCAAGTTTTTTTTCTGATAAGTATCTTTAATTGAGTTATTTAATTTCCCTTCTATTACTAGCTTACTTAAAGATGTTTAGAAAAATGATTGACTGAAAATTTGTTTTATGCTCATTATTCATCTGCTTAATATGATTTAAGAGTTTTAATTAACTCCAGTAGAATTTTCTAGTATCTATTCATGCATTCCTGCCACAAATACTACTTGTTATTATTGAGAGTTTTTGAAATTGTTTTTTGCTAAGGATTTGTCATTTTTTCCAGGTGCTGATGGCTCACACTGGTAATCCTAGTGACTTAAGAGGCTGAGATCTGAGGGGGCTGGGAAGGTGGCTCAATGGTAGAGTGCTTGCCTTGTATGCATGAGGCCCTGGGTTCGATTCCTCAGCACTACATAAACAGAAAAAGCCAGAAGTGGTGCTGTGGCATAACTGGTAGAGTGCTAGCTTTGAACTGAAGAGCTGAGGGACAGTGCCCAGGCCCCCAGAGTTCAGGCCCCACGACCGGCAAAACAAAACAAAAAAAAAGGCTGAGATCTGAGAATCAAAATTCAAAGCCAGTCCAGGTAGGAAAGTCTGTGAGACTCTTACCTCCAATTAATCTCCAGAACACTCTAAGTAGAGCTGTGGCTCAAATTGATAAAGTGCTAGCTTTGACCGAAAAAGCTCAGGAACAGTGCTCAGGCCTTGAATTCAAGCCCCAAAACAATATGAAAATTTTATATTGTTGACAGGAAAGGGAATTAGACTAAAACTTCCCTATATTATCATTCTTGGTTTTTGAGGTTATGCTAATTTGTTAAGAGAAAATGTCAAACTTGCAGAAAAGTTGAGAATTTTGTTTTCTAAAGTATTTAAGTTCACTTAGCCTTCATGTTTCTTTAGTCCCCCTCAATCTACAAACAGTTCTTAATACCTTCTCCATGATATTAACATTTGAAACACCTAGCCTAATTCTTTATTTATGTGCTGGTACTGGGACTTGAACTCAGGGACTAGGCATTCATCTTAGTGTTTTTGTTTGTTTTTTTTTTTAACTCAAGGCTAGTGCTCTACTACTTGAGCCACAGCCCTACTTTTGGCTTTATGGTAGTTAATTGACAGTAAGAGTCTCATGGACTCTGCCTGGGCTGGCTTTGAACTGTTTCTGATTCTCAGCCTTCTGAGTAGCTAGGATTGCAATCATGAGCTACTTCTGTGAGATAACTTGGAACTCTGTGAATACTGCATTCCTCACCAAAATGTCTATATTTTACCTATATAGACTTAGGGATTATAATCTTACTATCATTGTGTGCTTTCTTTTTTATTGGCACGCATTGAATTATGTAGGTGGAAGTTATATCATGACACTTTCATATAAGCACACAATGAACTGATTACCCAGTTACTTTTTCTTCTCTTCCAAGTTTCTGCCCTTTTCCCTTCTCCTTCCACCTCCCCCTTTGGCTTTCATAACTTCCTTTGGTTTGGTTTCTCCCTATCTACCACTAGAAAACATGTACTGCTGCTTGTCTTGGTGAGTCTGGCTTACTTTCATGTAACATGATCACCTCCAATTCCATCCATTCTCCAGGAAATGACCTCACTTCATTTTTTTTTTTTTTTGCCAGTCCTGAGGCTTGAACTCAGTACCTGGCCTCTGTCCCTGAGCCCCTCTGTGCTCAAGGCTAGCGCTCTACCACTTGAGCCACAGTGCCACTTCTGGCTTTTTCTGTGTATGTGGTACTGAGGAATTGAACCCAGGGCTTCATACATGCTTGGTAAGCACTCTGCCACTAAGCCACATTCTCAGTCCATCACTTCATTCTTCATGACTGAGTGAACACTCATTGTGCACATCTATTACCTTTATTCATCCATCTGTTCATGGGCACCTATTCTGATCCATAATTTGGACTGTGAATAAATAAACATTTTGATTCTTTTGGATATATACTGAAATGATTTGGCCAGTGAAAGCCCTTTAGCCTGCCTTTGCGTCTCTATCATTCCTCACCCCATTCTTTAAAAGTTCTTTCAGCCTTATCTTGAACATTCTCTGGCTCAACTGGAATGAGCCATTTCTTCTAGGAGCTTTAGCTCCTTTTATGGAGAATGGAATCTAAAAACAAGGTCACCAGGTTTGTTCCTAGCTAGAAGGCACACCATTACCTCCAACCTGTCTGTCATCTACTGGAAACTGAGATTATGTTGATGCTCCATTTGCATTTCAATACCAAGACTTTCTCCCTTTCTATCCTGGAAAATATCATTAGTGTCATTATTTGACCAATCAAAAGGTTTTTGTCACGTCCAGTCACAGTCTTTCCCTTGAGCCTCTACAAGTGAATAATCGAGTTTGTGTTTGGTTTGTGTCCAGATCACCTTTTTCATGCTGCTGTCGGGTGTGTGTGTGATGCTGAATTTGGCAGGCTCCATCCTCTCCTGTCAGAACGCTCAGCTAGTCAGCTCGCTAGAAGGCTGCCAGTTGGTGAGTAACAAAACACAAACCTTTCCATTAAGCTCTGCACCAGAGCTAGCTGAAAGATCATTTCATTGTATTCCTGGGTTCTCATGTAAATGTTCACTTTAGTTCTTAGCTTTTCAGTTGGGTAAAGAAAAGATTTCTTTCTACTTGTTTAAGGAATTTTAGTTAGGTTGATTGCCTTCTGTAAATTTTCCTAGTTAACTGGCTCTCAGCCTGGTACCTGTGGCTCTTGCCTGTAATCCTAATCAGGAGGCTGAGATCAGAGGATCATGGTTCAAAGCCAGTTTGGACATTAGACTCTTGTCTCCAATTAATCCAGAAGTGGAGCTGTAGCTCAAAGTAGTAAAGTCCTAGCCTTGAGCAGAAAACACTCAGGAAGACAGGAATCTGCTTCACTGCCCCACCAGAATGAACCCACTAGGATTCAGGTAATCCCCAAATGAAAATTAGGACCTAGCAGGAAGTCATGTGTGGCAGTAACAGCAGAAAATGTACACTGGATGGTCCAAAGATGACCCATATCTCCCCTCCTGGCTTAATTATATATATGCACCTCCCTGGCCAGTGCCTTTTATTCTGTCCCATTTCACTGTTGATTCATCTTCTGGAACAATACCAGTTTAATTACCTTGACTTTTTCATCTGTATAACTGGCAGAGGAAACCCTATTCACACAAACTTTTAATTTACTACTCACAAAAGCACTTAAATATTTAGTCTTCTAGACAAGCTTTGGTATTTGAGAGGAGACAGATTCAAGAAGAGTGATTTTGGGTTTGGAGGTGTGGCTCAGTTGGTAGAGCACGAGCCAGTGAGCAAAAGCTTCTGGTACTGAGTTCAAGTCCTAGTCTCAGACCAAAAAACGGAGGGGGGCAGTGTTCTTAAGGTTTGAATTAGAAACATATTAAATTTGTAGACAAGCTCGAGGAAGAATTGCTGTCCACACGACACTCAATCACCCCACTGAGGCATGCAGCGTAGGCCTTTTTTTTTAAATCCAAAATTGGTTCCAACATCTTCACTCCAGTTTTTCTTTCCTTTAAATTATGCAGAACATATCCATAGGGCAAGTGTAGTGTTGATGTCCTTCTCCCCTCCCCACACCCACCCACTGCATAATTTGAAACTCACTCCATTTCTCTGAATAAAAAAAGTTATATAGCAAAAGCCAGTGTCTTATTCTGGATTGCTATGAAACACCCTTGCTTCCACAAGTTGTTTTATTAGTCTTTCTAGCCTTTGTCTATGCAGATTTTTGTGCATGGAACATTTATATACACATGGAAGTCTGCTCTGCACACCAGCCCTCACATTGCTTTGTATACGTATGCATACATGTATGTATGTATGTCTTTACTTATGGTACCAGCAATGAACCTTGAGCTCAGGACCTGGGCACTGTCCCTTAGCTTTTTCACTCAAGTCTGGTACTCTACTGTGTGAATCACAGCTCCACTTCTGATAGATTAGAGAGAGATAAAAGTCTTTGCTGCCTGGGCTGGGTTTGAATTGTGATCCTCATATCTTAGCCTCCATGAGTAGCTAGGATTAAAGGCGTGAGCCACCAGTACCTGGATTCACATAGCTTTTATCCATCAATCAGGGAACTTGATATTTGATTTTGTTGTTTTTTGTGTGCCTGTCCTAGGGCCTGGGCACTGTCCTTGAGCTAGTGCTCTATTATTTGAGCCATAGCTCCACTTCTGGCTTTTTTTTTTTTTTTTAGTGTTAATTAGACATAAGATTCTCATGGGATTTCCTACCCAGGCTGGCTTCAAACCACAATCCTCAGATTGCAGCCCCCTGAGTAGCTAGAATTGCTGGCGCGAGTCATATTTCTGTATCAACTCTTGGAGATTTTTCTCAGCTGTTGCCTGGAGAATGGTGGGGAATGCCCCTGGATGCATGTGCAATTGTTTGTTTCACCCTCCCTTAACAAAGGATAGGTTAGGGGCATTCTGTTCAAATGAACATGGCAAAGAATATCATCCTTTGTTCAGTTCCATTACTCAATAAATACCGAGTGGAGATTGTAGGGAACTGGCCATGGTGCTGAGTACAAAAGCGATTTAGACAAGAGGAGGGGTGACATTGTCCAAAAAGAAATGTACTCTTTACATGACTTGTGTAACTGTGTGAATCACCTTTAAATTAACAATTAGAATTTTTTTTTAAAAAAAGAGACCTAGAAAGCTAATTGTCAGAGCAGTCTTGAAGCCAGTGAGCATGTGCAACAGTTCAGGTGTGTGTGTCAAACGATTCCTATGTTGCTGTCCAAAAACAAGACACCACGGGACACTTTTCCAGCAGAGTGTAACTGTGCCTGGTTACCCAAACTCATGCAGACTTCAGCATGTGTCACCAGAAAATATTTTTTTATCATTGCCAATCTGACCAAAACAAAGTAGGATCTTGTGAAATTTTAATTTCTTTATTGAAAAATCAACATCTCTATACTGTTTTATATTATTTGTTTTCTGATGTGTGCCAATAGTAGGGCTTGAATTCAGGGCCTGAATGCTTAAGGCCAGTTCTCTACTACGTGAGCCACAGCTCCATCTCTGACTTTTGCTGGTTCATTGGAAATAAGAGCCTCAGGGACTTTAATTCCCCAGGCTGGCTTCAAAGCACAACTCTCAGATCTCAGCCTCCTGAATAGCTAGTAGCATGAGCCACCAGTGCCTAGCTTTGACTTGTTTTTAATGGTGTTTTGTTTTTTCTGTAGGGAAATTTTATATCATGCTCACCTTGTTTTTATTCATCTATGCATTGTCACCCCTGCAGTTTCTTTATTATATTGGCTTGCCTAGGGAAACCTTCCATACCCTTAAAATTATAAAGAATTTTTCCACTGTTTCTCTGGCATTTCAGAGTTTTATTCCTTCTTAATACCTTAAAATGCCACAGATCTGAGATTTACTTTGCTATAAATATCGTTTTAGTTTCATAATTTAAAAAAGTACACAGGTGGACGGTGCATATTTTTAAGTTTAGCACTGGGTACTTGGAATATTTTGTGGCTCTGACAGGCACATTTCGTGATAATTATTTTATTTTCTAATAAGTACAAATGGCCTGTGAGCAGACTTTGTTATTTACACTTAACTGAACTTAATGTTGAGTGCACTGTTAAGCCCTTGATCCTGTAATTTGTCAGAGTAGATCACTTAAATATTGTCTCCTGCAGCTAGAGAGATCATTAAGGTTCTGTGTGTGTGTGTGTGTGTGTGTGTGTGTGTGTGTGTGTGTGTGTGTGTGCGCATGCATGTGTGATGGTACTGGGGCTTGAACTCAGGGGGCTTGGGCATTGCTCAAAGCTAGCATTGTACTACTTGAGTCACAGCCCCACTTAGGGCTTTTTGGTGGGTAATTGGAGATCAGAGTCTCATGACTTTCCTACCCAGGCTGGCTTCAAACTACAGCCTCCCAAGTAGCCAGGATTCCAGGCATGAGCTATGGTGCCTACTTAAGATGCTTTCCCTTAGTCAGTCCAGCCATGTAGTGAGTGATACTGAACACAGGACAGGAGAAGCAGGGGTTCTCCAAACCACTGGAAGGCCCAGTGACTCTACTTACCCTGTCAATTACACTTGGTATGTGCTATCCTCACAAAGGAGATTCTTCTAGAACCCTGAGCACCAGTTGTCCAGCAGAGGTAGCCTACCTGCCCTGGGTGGTGCTTCCATGATCCAGACATGCTCCATCGGCCACTGTCACAGTCCTCTCTAATGGTCTGGACTCGAACATTCACAGAGGAAACTTTCAGGCCATTTCTGGAGCTAAGGCTGCATCTGCCCTGGAAGGATGTGCCCCTCTGCTTGTGTTGCTGATGGATGGAACAAAAAATTGACCAATAGGGCAGGCACCCATGGCTCATGTCTGTAATCCTAGCTACTGAGATCTGAGGATCAAGGTTCAAAGCCAATTTATGCAGAAAAGTCCCTGTGAGACTCTCATCTCCAATTAACCACCAGAAAACTGAAAGTGACACTGTGGTTCAAGTGATAGAGCACTTGCCTTGAGCTGAAGAGCTCAGGGACAGAGTTCAAGCCCCATGACCGACCAAAAAAAAAAAGATTGACCACTAGGGACTTTTCCTACCTATGCTTATTCCTGGCTTTCACAAGATGGCTTCCAAGTTAGCATAGGGTTTGCTGTGGATCTCTAAGTGAAGACATGTCCTTATCAGTTAACTTAAGACATTTTGTTCCATCCTGGCTTGCTAGGATTTCAAATGCATATAAATTTTATCATCTTCTGTGGAGGTGATCAGATGACCTTCCTCCTCTGGATTATTAATGTAGTTGTTTGCATACATTGATTTTCTCATATTGCATTGTAGACACAGTCCCCTACCCCCACCTTAAGGCCCACTTCCTATTCGCTCTTCACTTGGCTAATGTTTTATTGAAGAATTTGCACATCTAAATTCATCAGTGAGATGAACTTACAGGTTGCCTTTGGATGCACTCTTTGTCTAGTTTTCACATCGGAAGGATGATATTGACTTCTCGCGATGAAATTGCATGCATTTGGTTTGACCTGTGACTCAGTTCCCATGACAAGAATTGTCTGTGATTTTTGCTTTTTTTTTTTTTGGGTCCGGTCATGGGGCCTGAACTCTGGGCCTGGGCGCTGTCCCTCAGCTCTTCAGCTCAAGGCTAGCACTCTACCACTTGAGCCACAGCGCCACTTCCGGCTTTTTTCTTATGTGGTGCTAAGGAATCGAACCCAGGGCCTCGAGCATGCAAGGCAAGCGCTCTACCACTGAGCCACCTTCCCAGCCCCGCTTTTTTTTTTTTTTTTTAAAGCTGATTTGTCTGGTTTTGATATCCATTCTCTGGTTAATGTATCTGTTTTTTTTCTATTCTTTTGAGCAGTTCTGGTTAACATATGTCTTCATAACGTTGTTTTACTCTTTGCTGATTTATTGTTTCAGTTACTGGTAATACTCTCTTAGGAGGGAGTGGAATTTGAACTCAGGACCTTGGCTGGTATGATAC